TACTTGTCATTCCCTCCACAGTGTCTCTGACAATTATTCTCTTCTTATCTCTCTCTCTCTCTCTCTCTTTCAGTGTCCTCTCTCACTCACTTCCTCTCAGAGGTTCATTCCCCACATGCTAATGGACACCCCCCCGTCCTCATGTCTATCTAATCAAAAATCAATTAAAAACACCTCGCCGCCAAGTCTCCAGAGCTGAGCCTAGGTTGAGGGTGGAACAGAAATGCTTCCCGCACTCTCTCTCTGTTTTCTCCCTCTTGTGATCTCTCTCTCCCCCTGCCTCTCCCTCCTTCTTCCTCCTATGGTCTCCCTCTCTCTCTCCCATAAGCTCCGCCCTCCTGTCTACTGGAAGTTGGCAACATGATTTACGAGAACGGAGAACTTAATTTATATATTTTTTTTCCTCTTGCATCCTCTCATTTATTTATTAGATTTTTCTCCCAGCCGCCTCTTCCTGTCTCTGGCGTGGAGGGGAGGCGGAGGATAGAGCAAGAGAGAGGATAGGATTAGATGGAGAGTGGTCTCGGGGCAGACCAGTAGACTGGCAGGCCTGCAGACATGGAACAGATCTGTCCCACACTTAATGGCATTAGTGCCGTCCCTGAAAGGGGGAGGGGAGGCCAGCAGGGAGACAGGCTAACATATTAAAACTGCTTCTATACCAGACGCTTGTCTACTCCACTCAAACTCCAACTCCAACTCTTTCTCTCTGTGTGTATTTGTGTGTTGTTTCGAAATTGTGTCAATTGTGATGTTGAAACAAGGCCCTTAGCTGATACATACCATTCTCTCTTAAAACATATTCAAACTGCAGATCCGATTAGAAATATTTGTCTTATAAATATGCTCTCACTGCCCTCCTCCCACACACACATAGCACACAAAATATAACCTTTATCCTTCACATGGGGATTCAGGCAGAAAGCTCGCTCTCCTATCGTGTCAGGTGCAAATGGACTTTAGCTGAAAAGCTAACATGGCCCTCGGTGGTAAATGACATCTCTGTCGACTCTGTCTATGTGGATAAAACTACAATCAGTTCTTTCACTGCACTCTATCCTTAACTCATTTACACTTACCCTTTTCCCACCAGGACTTTACACGTCTTACCGATCCGTGTGACTTTGGTGTGATCAGTGCCGGATTGCTGACTGTCAGCACACCTTCCAAAACTAGATCCAAGCCCCAGAGCACCCTCAGAGGCTCAAATTACCCTCTCTAACCTGCTTGGACAGCACACTCATACTAAACACTACTACTGTTCCAGGGGCATTGGACAATTGCATACAGGAGTTGGACAATAAATGGAGATAATGAAAGGGAAGAAAAAGACAGTGAAAGGTGGCAGATTGGAGTCAGCAAGAAAAGACCAGGGACAGAAAATAGTCACAGAATATAGAGAGGAGAGCACTCTCTTTAAACATGCACATATCAAGTGTAAGGGACCATGGAGTGGTCGGGGGAGAGGAAGTGGCCTGGGAATGTGAGAGGACACTGAGAGACAGGTGGAGCCAACATGCTGTGTCTTTTGATTAATGGAGCAGAGAGTTAGTAAATATACATGGGCCCCGCCCTTCAGCTCTTTCAGCTGTCTCAGCACACCGCGGCGTGGATGGATAGGGGGGATTTCATTCCTCGCCTTTAAGGAAAGGTTAAGTCACGACAATATTGTTGTGGATCGTGAAGATATTAGCAATACTTCCCCTTCTGTCATGTGAGTTTGATTATCCGTCTTCCTCTGCGCAGATTGGGGAGGAAGAGGAGGAGGAGAAGGCAAAAGCAGGGACAGGCGGAGATGGGCAGACACTAGCAGCCAGGGGAGTGTTTTCTCTTTATCTCTGTGTCAAAAAGGCCACCCCGGGTACTGCAGGTGTGTTAGGGAACAGCTTTAAAGAGAGCTATTGATCCTACAGAGTACTTCTACTGTATATAGCCGAGCTCTGCCCACAACCTCGCACCCTGAGGGAAACTATACAGGAACAGGCCATGCTAAAGGTCAGACTCTGATGGGGATAGGGAGCTGTAACGGGCTCTGCATACATATTTAGTGGCTTAACTGGCTTGAAACCTTATCATTAAGTCAATACACTTGCTCACACACTTACAATTCAAAGCAGCAGTTGTGTATAGTGATTGGTAACATTGCTGTGGAATAAGGGAGGGTCAAAAACAACACTAAGACTAAAGTCTTTTCAGATATAACTTTATAAAAAGTTTTTTTTGCAGAATACTAAGGAGTTAGATTAACGTAGTGTTAATTAAGAAGTTACCTGCAGAGCCCAGTAATTATCAGAAGCAATTATTGCCTGTTTCAGCTATTCATTTAATTTGATGCATAATCAAGGCGTTTCTGTCACTTAACCAGCATTCCATGTTCTCAAAGATTTTTCAATATGCTCTTCTAAAATGTACTTTCTTACAAACACTTTTTAGAAAAAAAAAACAGTTTCATTTTAAATTGAAGTGTTAAATTGAAGCAAATATTAAAAGAATAGAGTCCTCTTTAAAGAGTAAGATATAATATAAAACACACCTCAGTTCCAATCAAGGTCACAATATGGTAACAGGGGTACCTTTGTTTGAATACAATTCTCTGAGGTTAAAAATATGAAACAGATATTTGAAAAAATTCTCAATTGACGATTAAATCTATTTTATTTAATTCAGCTGACGGTTCAGGCTATGTTGCTCATCGCTCAATAAAACTAATATTCACTGGAGATTTTATTGTACAATTAGCGAGTGATTTCATTTAGACGCATGTTTCTTATCTACTTTTTAAACACTGGATACAGAATCGGTTTGTTGGACGCTCCGTTTCACGCAGCTGTATGTGTTTAGCCTGCAGTTAATTCTGGATGCGAGTGAATGTCCATTAAACGTAATCTTGTTTTTCCGTCCAGCGCTCAAACCACAACTTCAGAGAATTGGCCACCGATGAAGCCATCATCCATCATCCCACTGACGCTGTGCCAGAACACTTAGAGATAAATATGGAGGCTTTTCAAGTTGTATACCTGTCTTTGAAATACCACACAATCATAAACACACAGAGAAAGAATACAAAAAGTAACAATCTATTTCTGCAAATCAAATGTGTAAAAACAAAAACTTATCTTTTCCCTGCCTATTCATCATCTACCACTCACTCCGTCAGCAGCGGCTTAGTCACTTTTACCCAGCATCATTATAAAATGTCTTGATGGCAGTGGATGTGCGCACGTAGTCATGCTTCGCTCCTAAAAAGGTATGAAGAAACCCAAAATGGTCTATTCGGAAATGTGAGTTCTTGGTTTAATGAAATAGTGCTTTCAGAGTTGATCTGAGGAGGAGCCCACTAGAACACTTATCTCAGCATCAACAGTGCTGCAGAAAACAGAGCAGCCTTAATCGGATTGCTGGAGCTCTAAAAGGTTTTGTGCACATGGGTTCCTCTGCAGGCCGCTGGGCTCCAGGGCCCGGCTGGGCACTGAGGCCTGACTGCCAGCCGACTGCGTGGCTCGACTGGTTGATAAAGTCCAGAGACTCATTGGTGTCTTTGTTAGCCGCTGCGAGTAAGATGATACTAATTAGAGGCTTTGAATGATTCAATCAGAGAACACTGCAAACAGACGAATGCAGTAGCTCCCAGATACACAACACCCACACCTTTTCCACATTCAAAAGATACAGTATGCAGATATCATTGTATTTGTACACGCGCACATGCAGACACACACTTTAGATTAGCTTTTGTTCTATTTTACTCACTGTACACCTACACATCAGTCCATGGACTCACACAGTGGAATTCATTTATCAGTAGTTCACTGTGCCCTGAAGCTAGTGAGCGCTGCAGCAGACATTGATCAAACTGACTTCTAACATGAAGAAGTTCAAAATCGCACTTTTCAAATCCCTTTACTGCCAGCAACCTTCCACTACCGAAATAAACAAAGTCACACACACACACACACACACACACACACACACACACACACACACACACACACACACACACACACACACACACACACACACACACACACATTATTATACCATGTTGTATGTATTCTAGAAAAGCCCAGACGCACAGATTTCTCTTCACATAGCCTACTCTCACAAAATGCAACATACCCCGACATTTTTAGCTCACACATATCCAAAAATGGCATCAACGCATTCCTCCACTGAATGACTGGGGAAATAATTCTGAAAATAGCAAAGGTATTTTAAAGGCGACAGTGAAAACAATGACTGGATTTTTTGCTTTTAAAAAGGAGCAAGGTAGTTTATCACATTGTGCAGTTTAACTACAAATCCTCCCCTCAAATTATTATTTTGTGCACTCCATATCCATTATCATGTCCTTAATTTTGTATTTTTCGTTTTTTTAATTACTTAATTTGCTCCCTTGAGTTAATAATTCAAAATCAAACCCTTAAATTCCTTCCAATTATTAACGTTATCACCTTCATTCCATTTGTCCTTGTTATCCCGACAATTTTGCTATAGACGCTTCAATTTAATACTTTTTTATCAGTCTTTTTGGCTGAGTATTATATTATCTTTGGCATTACTTAAACGTATTTAACAGGATAACAGATTAACTGAAAGTGAAGCATTGCAAGTGTGAAGGCAAACTAGTTTCAAACTCATCTCTTACAGTTTGCCATTGAAACCCCAGATCTCTCCTTAGGATTCAGATAAGCGCTCTAAACTAAAGAAACCTATGTTCCTCCTGCAAACGATTCAAAAATCTCTTTTTGGCTTCCACACAAGTCAAGGAAATGTGCCATCTTTTTGCACAGCAGCTCCAGAGTTATTAGCCTTTGTTCCAACTGTTTTGCATATTCAGCCTCCCTTCCAGCCCACATAGATGTTAATGCACTCCCACACAAACAGATCGGTGTGAACAGGGCAAACATATTTTCCATCTCTCTCTCTGACACACACACACACACACACACACACACACACACACACACACACACACACACACAGAAGGAAGGAACAGGCACTCACATCTGACAGTCCTGGTCGTCCTCGGCCTGAAAGTGATACGTTCTGTCGTCTGAAACAAGAAGGAAACGGATGACACAACAGCAGAGAGATTTGGGAGAGGAAAGAGAGGACAACATGAACTAAAGAGAGGTGGAAACCGTGGAAACACAGGGAAGATCTCAGAGCCACTAAAGTGTCCTGCTCAACTGAAAACAGTAAATCACTTTTTTAGCGCTTTTCTCTGTCTTCAGATGTGAATACTAATAACCTGGGAGGACTATTTTTAAATCTCTGTTTCCAAAGCAACCTAAATAATTTACACCGAAGCTGAATCGTTGCCTCTCGCGCTCAATGCCACTATCTCTTACTTGTGGAAAAACTGGCCAAATTCAAAAGGACTGAAAAGGAAAACAGTTGCTGAATTATCTTCTGTCAATTTACAAAACAATCTAGCTTTTTTATGTTTTGTTATTAAATTCCAAGTTCACGGCTAAATGTTACACTGAGATTTGCGGGATGTGTACATTTTGAAAACGCTTATCTGTGGCTTTCTGCCGTTTGCTCAATAGAAAATAATCCACACTGCTGCACAACAAGCCTTGGTCAGCTGCAGCCTGGATGAATGGAGCTAATTAAAATATGGCATTGAAATGCTACGTATACAGATTATGAAAACCGTGAGAGCAGGACGGCAACATGTGAAAAAAGCCAAGAGAGAGACGCCTGAACTTACGTGATATGAGGTCGAAGCTTCTCTTCTCTTCAGGATTGTGTTTGACCTGGCAGGTGAGCAGGTTGAGTTTAGCTGGTGGCCGGTTAGCCTGACGGAGAGAGAGATGGGGGGAGGGTAATGATAACATTGTAAATGAGTGAGAGTGTTGTTTTTAAACCATATCTGACTGCAGCTGCAGCCAAGTGAAACATCTGATAAGAGCAGCGTGTGAGAGGAGCTGCTTCAAGGAGCTCAATCTTTATATGGGAACAAACGAGAGGCTCGGCAATGAGAGAAGAAATGAGAACTCTCTGCTGTTAATGAATTCATGTTTAATGGGTGAAGATAATGATTGCCTACCAGAAAAGGACACTTGAATGTGTGTGACTAAATGAAGTGTGATGTGTGTATTTGTTTGAACGAGGACACACACATAGAACTGAAAGTGTTGTACTCACTGTGCCGTGTGAGATGGTGAGGTAGCCGTTCTTCGCTGTGCACTTTCTCTTCTGCCACACTTTCCTCAACCTGTGACACACAGACAGCAGAGGTAAGAAGTCACATACACTAAACTCACATAGCAGACACTTATGATAACATATTTAATATGATCGCATGTTATGATACAGAGTAGATGCATTAGTTATGACACACAGACTGAGCAGTGTATTCACATCTATCATTTAAACAACAAGTGAGATCACCTGAAACAAGCAGCTGATGCATTGATCCACAGAGAATGAATATTCTCTTGTGGTTTTTCAAAATCACCAGCTTTTCCAAAAAGAGGATTTGATGATTGTCTGTTTTTTCTTGTTTTTTTGATTTTATATTATTAATATTTAAAACAAGCAATTAAAAAGATATCACCCTGGGCTCAGATACATTGTGATGTGTCATTAACAACTAGTTGAGTAAATGAGAAGGTAACCAGCAAGTTGAAATAGATACATTATTGTTTATTTGAAATAAGTTCAAATCTTTGTTTCGCTTTGTTATATTATTTTTAATATATTATAACACATTTAGAACTCAACACACAATGGGAACTTACTTTACAACAATTGTGTTTTTAACCCCCTACACAACCACAGCTGATCATTTGAGCTAATTTGACGGACTCACCCGTCACTCTTCTTGTAGAGGCAGCCGCTGCGCTCCGTGCCGTGCTCCTTGTTGCCCTGAGGCTGGTGCAGGCTGTAGGTGGTGCTCTGCCGCACCTGTGAATCCTGGGAAAGCAAACACAAAGAAACACACACAATAAATCAATGCCTATAAACAAACAAAGAAAACTAAATAAAAAGCAGGCGCTACATGAAGGATTCGCACATTCAAATTGCCGTCTATAGGAGCCACTGAAGCGGTAAATGGCTCTGATTTAATCTCTGACGCAGAGTCTCCGGCTCCTCTGAGAATTTAGAAGCGAGTAAGAACAACAAAAGATGGCTGTCAGCCTGAATGATTTTGTACACATGGGGATGAGACAATAATAGGAGCTTTTACACCTCTGAATCTAAATCTGCGACAACAGTTTGCTAAAAGCTTCCAGGATAGAATTACAAATCCCATTTTGATCGTAAGCCTGCATGCAGTTTGAACAGATTACACTTGATTGCATTTAACTTTATATTCAGGTTTGAGTGCAATGTGACAACACACAAATGTAAAAGAAGGTCCAAACAAAGGCCAGCTTTTTGTACGAGTGAAGTCATTTCCTGTCTGGAAACACTACGGGGAACAGACTTCAGAAGGCAGCCGTTAATGTGGCTTTAATGATTCTATTGGTGTGTGCTGTTATCAGCAGACACACACAGCCAACAGGATAATCTTGCAGGAGCAGGAATGCAGCTTAAGCTTTTCTCATTGAAAAGTGATTTAAAATAAAAAAGCACTGAAACATATGCGGCTTTAAAAAGAACATAACAAATATCAATCTAGCACAACAACAGAAGCAACACAACACAATGGAAACAGAATGCACACAACCACAGAAATGTTTTTCCATGAAATGCACTTACTCTCCTAGACTTGTTTCACAAAAGACGAAGGCAGCGGAGGAAAGGAGAAAACAACCTTCAGGTGAGACCAGGAGCTGCTGCAGTCTGCAGCTTATTTAAAAGGCTCGCTAAGCAAAAGGCTGGTATAAGTTACAAATCATTTCCACTCAGTCATGTGGAGTGGAACATTGATCAAAGCAATGCATGTATAAAGCAAATGGGAATCAACTCAGATTTCACTTCTACCACAGACCATCAGTCTAAAAAGGGCTGGAAGATAATAGTTTTGAGAACTGTATATACTAATCATAATCAGATTTTAAACTATATATAAAATTAAGAAAACTAAATTGACTGACATATTGTTATTTGATGTTCAAAAGACCCTCAGTGCTACGTGTTCGTGAGTGTGTGTTACCTCTTTCTGCTCCACCTGCAGTGCTGTCTTCAGGACGTCTCGTAGCTGAGTCAGCTGTTTCCTCTCCTCGTCCTGCACCTGCTTTATCTGTCATGAAGAAGAAAACATTTCAAGATTCAGAAGGCTTTATTGTCATAAGGACAGTAGCTACAGTGTAGATATGGCAAAGCACATCTTAATTCCCAGGCTCCTCCAACAATGCAACAAGACCCGAAACAATAAAATAATGCAAGATTATTTTTTCCAGACCAACGTGCAAGTAATCCGAAAACAGAGGAAAGGGAGACAAGCGAAAGAAAGAAGGTGAAAGAATGGACGTTTTTCTCACCGTGTGCAGATCTGTGGCCAGTTTTTCTATGGAAGGTTTTAGGTTGTCCACAGCTTTTAGACCATCCTGAAAGAAACTGAACAGGAGACATGTTAGTTTAATAACTTTGTATGCAACTGATCCCATTTCCCTGCAAGATGTCTCTGTCTTACTTGCACTGTGCGTGGAAGTACTTGATGAGGTTCTGCAGCAGGTCCACTCCCTTCTTGATTTTGATCTCATTGACTTTGAGGAGATACTGTAAACACATGGAATACAGATTCAGATTGAGGCCAGGTTCAGTCGGAGGGAAAGGCAGCTCCATTTCAAACATTATTCATCCCTTTCATCTCATATGCAGACGCTTCAAAGAAGAAGTCTACATGTTTCAAGTGAAGCTTCATTAAAAGTCAAACATCACAGAGGTCCAGACCACACACACGTCATAAATGTAATCTAAGATTTGTATTTCAAAAGTGTATACACATTAGGAACTACACAAACTTCTTCTAGGTTTGACAGGTCGTTGCGGTAATTAGTCAGACTCACCTCACACATCTGCAGCTGGAAGAATCTCCTCTCCTTCTCCATCTCCTCAGCGATTTCTGCGCCGCTGATTTCCGTCCTGATCATCCCGTGCTGCCTCGCGTGCTCCTTCTTCTCCTTCTCTATCTTGGTGCTGGAAGGAAGTGACATCACAGGGGTCAAAGAGCAAACAGCAAATGCATGGCAGTACCATACAACATAGGGGAAAACGTGTGGTTTTGTGTGAAATCAGCCCTATTGCTGACTTTGTTGTTGGAGGAAATGTGGGGATTTGGAGGGTTTGTCGCGTAACAATAATTATGCCATGCTTATACTTCAATGTTTGAATTAAAAAGGGAGTTATGTATTCTAAAAAGTTAGGTATAGGTTTCTGGTATGAGCAAAGGAAATAAGTAGTTTAAGATTTCATTCCTGCCTCAGGTGAAATCTTTCAAACACCAGGTTACCTGCCAGTCAGTATTCAGGGCTGATTTTTCACAAATACCATAAACTCTGCATACAGTATCTGTAAAAAGCAATCAGCAAAACACACACACAAGGGAGGGGGGGCGGGGGGCACCAGACCATGCAACAGGGCATTCTTTTCCATATGCTGTTTTTCTGACAGCATATTCCCTACGAAGACGATGCAGCAATCTGTTCCCTCTCGCAGAGACGGGACAAGAGTGTCAGTGTTTGCAAGCTGTTCCACAGATTTCATCATGATTCATGAGCATCAAGCTGCGCTGGTAGGTGGACTTTGCGAACTTTTAATAGACCCAGGCTGTAGCTCCATATTTAACAAATATTGTAATAATATTACATATTTGTTTTACGGTGAATAGATACAGTGGGGCAAAAAAGTATTTAGTCAGCCCACCAATTGTGCAAGTTCTCCCACTTAAAAAGATGAGAGAGGCCTGTAATTTTCATCCTAGGTATACCTCAACTATGAGAGACAAAATGAGAAAAAAAATCCAGAAAATCACATTGTCTGATTTTTAAAGAATTTATTTGCAAATTATGGTTTAAAATAAGTATTTGGTCACCTACAAACAAACAAGATTTCTGGCTCTCACAGACCTGTAACTTCTTCTTTAAGAGCCTCCTCTGTCCTCCACTTGTTAACTGTTTGAACTCGTTATCAGTATAAAAGACACCTGTCCACAACCTCAAACAGTCACACTCCAAACTCCACTATGGCCAAGACCAAAGAGCTGTCAAAGGACACCAGAAACTAAATTGTGGACCTGCACCAGGCTGGGAAGACTGAATCTGCAATAGGTAAGCAGCTTGGTGTGAAGAAATCAACTGTGGGAGCAATTATTAGAAAATGGAAGACATACAAGACCACTGATAATCTCCCTCGATCTGGGGCTCCACGCAAGATCTCACCCCGTGGGGTCAAAATGATCACAAGAACGGTGAGCAAAAATCCCAGAACCACACGGGGGGACCTAGTCAATGACCTGCAGAGAGCTGGGACCAAAGTAACAAAGGCTACCATCAGTAACACACTACGCCGCCAGGGACTCAAATCCTGCAGTGCCAGACGTGTCCCCCTGCTTAAGCCAGTACATGTCCAGGCCCGTC